GGAGGACTCAAATTTCTGGCTGATGACGACGAGGCGATGATATGGTAATTCCGAGGGAGTACATCCTAGAAAATCCACCCAAGCCCAAGGTGTTACACCATCGTGCCGAGGGGCTGCATGGCACAGGGGAGAAGTGTGTTCCAAGCGATGCCTGGCGCACCGGGCGACCCGCCAGGGAAGATAGCTGACCGAGAATTATCTAGCTACTTGTGGGATAAATATGGAAAGTAATGAAGAAAAGAACAAACAGACAAATGCAGAAGGAAGGAGGCACCCTAACATAGGTCAGGAGGACATTTGTTATGTTGCCGATAGGTCACCCGTGGAACAATGGAAGAGTCTGCTGCCAAGCTGGACGAGGGTACAGAGATCAAACTCGATTACCGAGGGAATGAAATGTCAGCTAAAGACTCCCGAAATTGTACCTAGCCAGTGTTCAAAAAAAAGAAAACTGGCAGAGGAAAATGCTAACGAAGCCATACGGAAAAAAGAGAGCCCCGTTGTTATGGACTTCCTAGAAATGTTGGAAACGATGCAGAAATGTGCAAAGAAATTAGATGGAATCGTCCAAGTCAACCAAAATACCAAAAGACGTTAATACGGACCTGAAAAGATGTAGCATGTTTTTGGACAGGGAGTCGGTCAAGCAGTGGCTCGAAAGAGAGAAATGGGAGAAGGTGGAACCTCAGACATTTGATCTAGACTGTCAAACCTATCCAGTGACGCAGTCAGTTACCATTCAGGCAGTTTGGCAGGAGGGATATACAAAGAGCCTTCAAAGCAGAAGGATTTGAGGGCCTGGGTGGGGTGATAGACGTGGACTGGCCGTCAGAGGATTACAAAAACACTTCTGTACAAACAGGGAGTCTTGAAGGATTTGATGTGTCTGGTGACCTTGCAGTGCTCATGGACCTGAGCTTAACCATTCAAGATGAAAAAGGTCGAGCATTGGTAAATAAATTCCCAGCAGCGAAGATGTTACTAGAGGAGGGCCTAACTGAGGCGCAGGTTGACTTAGTCAGAGTTCAAACTGAGATTGTTAGTAAAAGAGGGAACACGGGTCACTGTAACACAATATATGCGCTACCAATTAAAATGGACGATAGCGGTATCACCGACGTGAAGGTTCTTTATAGAACCTGCGAGGAGCTGAAAAAGCAGACAGCACAGGATTAGAATGTTAGTAGGATCAAGGCAGTGGGCCCCACCGATAAGAAATACTTTAGGAAATGTATGGAGTTTCCCTTTGAAAACACACAGAGTAAGATAAAAATTTTGGAGGAGGAGAAAAAAAAACAGACCACATAAGGTCAAGAGGACCCGAAGGACCAAGAGAAACCACCGACAAGGTTGTAATAAAGGAGCAAGGAAAATTGTACGCCGAGCTCTTGAAAAACGTAAAGAGCAAAGTTAATATAGAGGAGGTTGGTGTAAACATCAAAAGAGTTAAGAAAAGCAATAGCGGCGATCTTATGCTGGAAGTCAAAGGTTCAGAAAATCCTCAAAGGCTAAGGCGTGTAATTAAAAATAAAGTGGAGAGAATAGAGGCAATACATACGTCAAACGATACAATCCCATACTTGACAGGGATTGACGCCGACATTGGAGAAACAGAAATTATAAAGCACAATCATGAGTCAATGTGGCACACCAAATGCCGATATCAAAATTGACGGTAGTCTGACTGTAAACATCCGGACTAGAAAAGAACTGGCGAAAACTCTCCTTAAAAAAAGAACTGTAAAAATTGGCTGGGCGGTATGCAGGGTAAATAAGATAGTACACCTCGCAAGATGCTTTTGATGCTTGAATTATGGACGCCGATCGTCAAAATGCAACGGAGAAGATCGGTTCGGATGTGTGCATCAGCTGCGGGAAGAAGGGACATCTGGCAAACGAATGCAAAAACAACGCATACTGCACAACCTGCAACCGAGAGGAACACCGAGCGGACCAGTTTACGTGCCCCCATTATAAAAAACTTTATAAGGCGGAAGAGAGAAAAAATAAAATTCGAAGGAAAACTTTAGTCAGTAGCAACGATGAATTTTTTACAAGTTAATATAGACAGGGGGAGAGCTGCACATGACGTTACACAAGCTGTGACTACAGAAAAAGAAGTAGCTATGGTGATAATAAGCGAACCGAACATAAATATGTCTGAGGGATCAAGCTATGTTCTCGATAATAAAGGAAATGTGGCGATACGTAACTTGAATAGGTCTCTGAACATAAATAAAGCGGATAAAGGGGATGGGTATGTCAGTTTAACATTCGACAACTGGAAAATCTTTGGTTGCTGTGTTTCCCGAACAAACCCTTATCCGAATTTCAAGAATACATAGATACGGTGTTTAGCAGCATTCGAGATAGTGGATGTGAGGTGATTTTAGTCTGAGACTTAAATGCAAAGTCCACATACTGGGGCTCACCATTGACGAACCATAGAGGTAGATATTTAGAAAAATGGATAGCGGAATTAGACATGACTATAGTCAACTCAGGAGGGCTTCCAACTTTCCAAAGGGGAGAACGCTTTTAAGGAAAACATGAATACCATAAACCATGCGAATGTTGAGACTCCGGAGGAGCTAGTGGCTGTCTTAGAAGAGGCTACTGGGAAAAGCACCATCCATACCCGAGAGGAAAAACTAAAATTCCATACTGGTAGACAGTACAAATAGAGCGTCTTAAATATAAGAGAAAGAGAACAAAAGTTCACCCTGCAGTAACCTTGAAAGTGAGGCTCAAAGTCAAATCCAAGGTCGCCAGTGTCCTCCTCGTTTGAAGCCAGTTAAGACCTGACCTTAGGCGTTCCCGAAAATACCTTGTTTGGAATGCAGAGTAACTGTTAACAATGCAGTTATGTAAAAGCATCGCATGCCATAAAAAGTCCACGAAGTAAGAGAATCTACAACTGACAACCTTTTACCCGTCAAAGAAAATATTCCGTGGAAATCACTCAGCTCTACACACCTCAATGGTACGCGAAAATCCAAACTCTTTATTATAACCAAACTCCAGTCGTATAGAGTTGTTCACATGTCTTAAGGCATTAATTCCCTCCAGTCAGATATGTGATTGAGGCTCTCTCACCATCCGACGCAACTCTCTAACTCCGCAACTTTGCTAATATATGTTGCTATATGGCGCTGTTCGACAAGTCCAATTTCAGCGACGAGAGTTGCAAGGGGGTGGGGAAAGAGGGCTCTTAGTTTTCGCGAGGCGCAAGGAAATTAACACGTTGAGAAAGCTTAAACGTCTCCCGGAAGTTTACAACCCTATTAATATACAACTTTTGCGAGCGTAGATAAACCGCTCGTTGTCAATCATCCTGAAAGGAAGGTCCCTGTAGTACAATTGGATTGGATTTTATATGTTGCCGTCGCACTCTGCTCGGTAAAGGATTAAATGGGATATTTTCAGTCTGTATACTAGAAGAAAATATTTGTTAGAGCTAAGAAGACTTTAGTTAGCTATACGCCAAATGCAGTATTACCGACCTCCTATGGCTTGGTTTGGTCACAGAGATGGAACAAGATACAGATCCTGTTTAGCCTGTAGCTTGTGCGACGTTCGGACAGTACATCAAAGCTGGTAGCATGGTGAGTTCTCAACATATCCTTGGTTGATGAGGTGCCTATTTCCTGCTATCAATGTAGGTTCGTTGATATAGCGTTCGGAGCACCTTTCCTAGGTGGCATTACCTCCTCTTTGCATTATTTTCGATACATTCTGTTGTCTGCAGTAGTGTTACTTGTGTTAATTTTGTACTGTCGATAAGATTACATCTGCTGCGGGAGTAGTTGCTAAATCTGATGTTCGCCACCTCAAGCGGCTCTGAGCCAGAAGACGTAAAGGTCTGTCTGTTGACTTAATCGTATGAGATGAGCTTAAAAATCATTTGATGGAGAATTGGTAGGTTGCGAGCTTCAGATTTCCCACCTACTTGCGCAAAATGCTTTGATTTTGTTGATTTCCCGTTCGTCTGCCTCCAAGACTAGATCTATACTACACTATGCTCAGTTACCGGAAAAGAAGAGAACATAAGAACACGTCGAACGCACATGCTAATGCGGCACCTCTTTGAATTGTTAAGTCGCATGGTCGTGCGATTTGGTCTGCTGGCATCTTCCTTTCCAGTACCCAAGTATAATGTGCGGCTGGTCATGATTGCAAAGATGGAAACCAAAGATGTCAATTTCAGCCAACGACGGATCTATTAAAATTTAGTAGCGTAACAAATATATTTTCGACAATTTTATTAATTTAACAGAGATGAGTACGACCAGGACCCATACTCTTGAAAACAGAGGAGTAGAATCATTAAGAAAAGGCGGGTGTGGTTCTCTTCTTTTGGGGAACTGTATTCCTGAACGCTGATATAAAAAAGGTACCGTCGTCTCGTCGTCATCTATCAGTCTCGGTTCTAAGGACAAAATTAACTTTGTGATCAAACGTTTAATGATATGAAAACCTAGAAGAATATCGCTGCAAATCATGCAGTCGCATATCTATTTAACGTCAGAACACATGCCGGAAGCTGTGAGAAAAGGTAATACCAATACGAGATAAGTAAACAGACTGACTAACTGTGGCATGACTGTAGTCTGATATTTTTCTAAGAAAAAATGCACGCTGCGTAACCGTATCCTTAATCCAGCTGCTACTCATTCTAATAGCTTTTTTTATCATTTGACTTTTTAGTACAATATGTCAATGTTGTCCGCTAATTGTATTTCTAGGCATTACTATATTTTATATCGAAGAATAACAAGAGAGTTACAGATTATGATGACAAGAGAGTTATCACACTGACAGTGTGAACCATAGCCTCAGCCTCAGGACATTAACTCGTTGAGCCCAAATTTTTGACGCGGTGAGTCAAAACTGAAAAACGTATACCTCTGAGTTTACATAAAGGAACGACCACACTCAATGTTGTATGACTTGTATATGTACGAAGAAGATGGAGATAAAAGGCAAACTGTTTTTTATTATCCAGGAGACATAACAATTTGCATTGGATTTGTCAAGTGAGATATACCATATATAAGCATAGTAAGCAAAGTAAAATTCCTTAAACATTAACAAACTCATACACATTGCGCGAACATTTATCTAACAACCTACTACTCAAACATATTTTGAACTGCTTCAAGGAGGTACACAGTTTTATTTCATCAGGCAACTTATTGTATATTCTTGGTCCCAAGACACCGGGCGTCTCCCTACCCTTTACATATTCTGCGAAAGACATAAGTAGATTATATAGGGTGATCCAAATTGAGTTTCTACATTAAAAGTATTTAAAAAAAAAATAAATTGAAAATTATTAAAAAGTATGTATTTGTCCTTTCAGGGCAGTTCATTACAATTATGCATGATAGATGATATCAAGTAACTGACCGCCGCGGCTCATGTGGCATGACGTAATCCGCTTCGAGAAATTTTCGACTACTCCGTGGCACAAATCAGGTCCTATGTTGGTAATTTCACGTCTGATCTCTTGTTTCAGCTTCGCAATTGTGTTCGAGTTATTCTTGTAGACTTTGCTCTTGAAATACTGCCAAAGAAAATAATCTAAGGAAGTTAAATCATAGGATCGCTGCGGCCAATTGATATCGCAGTTAGGTGAAATAAGGCAATCTGGAAACTTGCCGCGCAGTAATTGTATCATTTCTCCTGATGTGTGACCTAGGCTTCAATTCCTGTGTCATTTGGACTCTGTATGGGTGTAACATCAAATCTTTTGTTAAAATCCGCTGTGTAGTGGAATAAGTAAGGACAGTTGCTGCGATCGATGACGAATCGAGGTTCTTGGATTTTCAGCCATACTTTCGGCAACAATAGCAATATTGTATTCCGACCGACCTCTACGAGCACGCCTATGGGCTTTGGTGTTAGCGACGGATCCAGTTTGTTCGAATTTTTGCACCAAATTAAAAACTATCCTCTCACAGGGCCGATTTTGTGCGCCAAAAAATTCACGTGAAGCACGAAATGTATTCTTCATTGATCGGCCGTTTTCATTATACGCTTGAATAATTTGAACATGTTGTTAGGTCGTATATTGCTTCATGACTGTTTTGTTTAAAATTTGGCGTTAGAAATGGCACGTTGTCGTTGACAAATTCAGTGGCGTTTCAAAAAAAAAATAATTTGTAATGTGGAAACTCAATTTGAATCACCCATTACTTTGGCCTAGAATCAAAATTATGCTGATACTTATCTAGCATAAAGTTTCTTTGTTATTATACACGTATATTGCCAAACCATATTGTTACAACTATCTGTTGGACCAACACCTTATCACTACTTTCTGGCCTAAGAATACTTGACATGCGCTAGTAGACAGGCCCCAAAAAGCACAAGATACCCTTGTTTCTTCTTGTGCGTAGTATAGTGTAACCAACTGATCTTTGGTCAAGGTTGTTCGTAAGTTTTTGAACTTGAACTTAGAAATCATCGTATGCATACAGCGTGAAGTTAGTCTGCGCAAAAGACTGTTCTGTTTTATTGAGGTATAGGGTGAACAATCTTGGCCACAATATCGACCTCTGGAAACAGAAATATTCATGTTCATTACATCAGATTTCATTTCTGAGATACGATTGCAACAGTTTCTTGGTAAACACACTGGGCTGGGCTGACTGAAACTGTATATCTAACTATACTATACGGAACTAGTTTATTCAAAGGCAGTTCATAGTTCATACAGTCGAAGACTCTGATGACATCATAGAAGATCTCATCAGGGTATAGTCAACAAAACTCAGAAAGGCCATCTGTGTCGATTTCCTACCGCAAAACCCATGCTGATTTACTTATAAAAAGTCCACTGATACTATAAATCGCATCAATCTAAGTAATAGTACTCAAAAGCTTTTGAGAAGCAGAACGGAACTGCGACCGGCCTATAATTGTGTGTATCTGAAGAATCAGCTTTTTTGAGGATTGGTACTACCTGACCCGTTTTCGAAATTGGGGAAAACTTTCCGGCAGAGGAGATATTTACCATGGATGCTAAAGGTTTAGCTATATATTTCGTCATCTTTTTTACTCAAAATCCTGGATAACCGTCGGGTCCGGTGGAGTCTTTGTCCTTTAGTTTCAGGTTGGTCAGTTCATGAAGTTCTTCGCCTGTGGAAGAGTAAAGCAGCATTGTAGAGTCACTCGTAATAGGGATCGCATGCAACAGTTTCACTATCTTCCTTTGGAACCTTGTTTACAATTTCCAAAGGAGTGTCCCTAAAATAAATATTAAATTTGTCTACTATGTTTTGAACGTCAGATATGATGTTGTCATTTTCTTTTTAAGGATTTTTTTATTCTGCTTCTTTTTGTTTCTCGTTAGTTCTGATGCTACCTTCCAAGCAGCTTTTTTGCGGTTATTTGACCCGAAATTATTATCGTGAGAATATTTTTGCTTACCAGATTACTAGATTTCGACGTTTCTTTTCCATATCAATATAGACTTCTTTATTATTGGAATCTATAGTCGATGATAGAAATGCAACTTTCAACCGCTCGCTGAATTTTGTTATCTGAGAGTTTACCCAACCTCTATGATTTTTCTTCAATAAACATTTTTGCGAAGGAAAATCTGTATTGAAGTGATAATTAAATATGTGAAAAAAATAATGAAATGCAGATTCGATGGCTGGAAAATTATATACGCTAGTCCAGTCTTCGAAATAGAATAGATAGAACAGACAAAAATAATGGTGAAATATACTAAGTGACATACAAATCCGAACACCCAGTTTAAATGGTTTTATTTTAATAAAAGTTGGTGAATGTATTTATCTTACTGTAAATAACAGGTGAAAAAATTTTCAGCCTTATCAGTTGGACATTCCGGTTTTTATACTGCTTTTTTTTAATTCACTAACGCTCTAAAAATGAATATTTCAGCCGCAGTAAAGAATCAACGTTGGCGGATGTTGGTTCTTGACATCCTTTACGATCGGTTACGATGCCTAGAGTACGGAGACCTGTACGATTTCGTCAACTTAGTGAGTTTGATAGGGGCCGTATAGTGGGACTTCGGGACGCTGGACTTTCTTTTCGGGCAATTGAAGTTAGAGTGCAAAGAAGTGTAGAAACTGTGGTTAGGTGTTGTCAGGCATGGCTTCGAGAAGGCCGTACGCAAAGAGCAAGGGGCACTGGACGCCGCCGTAGAACAACAGACCGTGAAGATCGCCGCCTAAGATTATTGGCCTTAAGGGACCGTTTCTCCACTACCAGGTCCATTGCAAATGAATGGTTTGCAGAACACGGAAGACCTATTGGCATGCGAAGTGTTTACCGACGAATGAGAAGTTTTGGATTGTTTTCATACCGGCCACACTGGGTCCTCCCTTTAACTCGAGAACACCGACGTAGTCGCCTTGAGTGGTGCAGACAACGGTCACTCTGGGATCAGGAATGGAACAGTATTGTCTTTAGTGACGAGTCTCGATTTTGTTTAGGCATGCACGATGGTCGTGCCAGGGTTAGAAGGCGACGTGGTGAAAGGAGGAATCCAGTTTTTTGTTGAAAGACATGTTCATCACACTGTTGGAGTTATGGTTTGGGGTGCTATAGCTTATGGTTCCAGGTCACCTTTAATCTTCATCAGAGGTAACATGAACGCGCAGCGTTATATCCACGAAGATCTAGAACCCCATCTTTTACCCTATCTTGACACCCTGGCAGATCCAACTTTCCAACAAGATAATGCCCGACCACATGTTGCAAGAGACACAATAGACTTCTTTCAACATAATGATGTCACATTGTTACCATGGCCACCAAGATCTCCCGACTTATTCCCAATTGAGCCCGTGTGGGATATGATGGGTAGGAGATTGCTCAATTTGCAACGTCCTCCTCAGACTCTAGAAGCACTTCGAGAGGAGTTGGTGGTTGCCTGGAATGAGATACCACAGGAGGACATTGACCACCTGATCAGAAGCATGCCTAGGCGCGTTGGAGAATGCGTACCACATCAGGGTGCATCCACCCATTATTAAAGGTCAAAGGGCTTTAAAGCAGTGCAATCATTTTGAAATTTTTATCATTTACTTATTATACTTCATTAAGTACTTATACAAAATTTTATTAAAATAAAACCATTTAAACTGGGTGTTCGGATTTATATGTCACTTAGTATATATGGCCGATATGAAGTTTTCGACGTATTTATCGCTATAAATTGTCTTTTACATGAATACCGGTTTGTCATGGGTTGACTTGGCATAGTCAATTTCCAATCAAACTGTTATGTGATCAGATACAGTGTTTTCTAAGACGCAACTCTAACCGTTACCAGAAACGTTTTCATAGATATGGTCTATAGTTTTCATTATATCAAGCCAGCTTTGTATAGATGATTTAACGCCATACTTAAAGTATATATTACCCCATAGAGGTCGATAACAAGATATAATCATTACTTTTGCTTTACCGCACATACTTTTTGTGGCACACATTTCTAAATCCTAGTATTTACAGAAATGAGATAAATGATGATCGCTACTCGTGATATCGGATCTACATAAAGTAGCTGTACCTCCTCCTACATACATACTATGTCCGACAAAAATGACTAGATAAATAAAAATTGTCTATGAGCCGTTTTACACACAAGAGAATTACTCCGAAAATTATGGTTATAATTATGCCGAAAATTATTGCTGTCGTATTACACCTAAAAGAATTCTTGTGAAAATTTTCATGGTAAAAATATAAAACCCGTTCTATATAATATGCGCGAGAATCGGCGCAGAGGATTATTTCCGTCCATGTCATTATCAAATGTCAACGTCAACAACATAACCCCACTTAACATTTGTGGGTATGGTCCTGTTCGAGTCGTACTACGAAGAAGCGTTTATTGTTATTGTTTATTCATAATTTGGAATCAGGAAGAAGTTACACTGTTGTTGTAGGAGTACCAAAAATGGGCAAACCTGTTCAAGGTGAAGTCACCCAATTTCAAAAACAAAAATTTGCGGCTTCAATATTAACCAAGATCTCGATTTCAAAAATAAATTTAAATCAACGACGTCTGTTGTCTTTCCGATTATATTGGACGTCATACCCGTTAAGGTTATGTCCATTCGAAAATATTACTCTAATGCGCAGGCGTATCATATGAATTACTCGGAAATTTTGTTTGCTTGTGTCATACAGGTTGCAGAGAAAATCTTCATATTTTTTCCATGCAAATTTTCGGCATAATTATGACCATAATTTTCGGAGTAATTCTCTTGTGTGTAAAACGGCTCCAACACAAGTTTCCGTCAAACACACATAACAAAAACCAGTAAGATCTGATAAAAACTCGCACAACTCATTACTTCTATCTACAATAAAGCGTTGTATATTTAACAGTAAAGTCGTCAGATTGAAATCTAGATGATCAGCAATGAATTTCTCTCCTTCTGGAAAACCGATTTATGATCGTATTTTTGGGCCAATTCTTAACATCAGCAGCTGTATCAATTGGTTTGTTCTTATTGTATACCGAAACTTGTATAATTATTTTTTGCAAAAAATCGTTAAGACTACTAGAAGTGCAAAATAGTACGAGGAACTTCTGTAGGTTATAAAGTGATCGGTTGATATTTGTTGTCATCTCTGAATTCCGAAGTAAATAGCGTAGGTAATGTGTCCCATGAGGGACCTTAACACTTGAGTCCAAACCTGTTGTAAGCTATAATATTATAAACACAATATACCCCCGGGACACATCCTTGCAGAAGATTGTCAATCCGCCATTTTATTACCTCCCAGCTGGCTCTTTACTTGGATCGCCAGAGGCAGTGAAAATTGATTTAGAATATAGTTTACGTTGGAAAATGCATCCGAGTCGGAACGTTCGAGACTTGAAGGCGACCTTACAAGTAGTTTTAATCTCGCATAGTGGAATGGGGTTCAATCAAATTTCGCAGACGAGCTACTTCAGTCGCGGCTAATGATGCGAACGGAAGTACTACAAAGGGGCATTACCGTTTGCCTTGCTCGATACTGTGACCTGAAGGGGTTGCAAAAGGTATTTTAGAGGGCGGTGTGGCAATGTCTGGCGAACAGTGGTAAGGTCAGGATGCATGTATGCGGTCATGGCACCTAATATGGATAAATTTGAAATAAGATGTGGGATGACAATAAAAGAATGAAAATGACCTGCCCTGGCAGATCATATTACATATCGGGCTTTTTTATTTGAGAGTACCCATAGAGAATATAAAACTTGTCAATTTTCAGGTCATGGGTCGAACAGAGTAGCCTGAAGGCGCGCTTAAAGTGCGAAGCTTCCGAATATATGTGAATTTCAACCATAGCTGTTGGACCTACGAATCTGAGATTTCACAAAATCTTATATGGGTGTCTCAAAAGTGACATATCAAATGGTAGAGACTTATGAGGGAGTCATCTTCAATCAGAAAAATTACATATGTCCTTATCCGATTTTGCACGGTCTTTGAGTCTTCGCCATCTTTAGGAATTTTAAAACGGTACTATTTTTTCTGATGTTGTCTATTGCTATTTCGCAATGAGCTTTACAATATATATACAGAGTGTCCCAGAAGTCGACGTCAAGCCGAAACCGGGTGATAGGCAAAGTCATCTATCAGAAAAATATTTAAAAAAATTTTATGTATGTGTTTTGAAAATTATAGGTCTTTGAAGAAGATATAGAAATTTCAGAAAAAGTGTATTTCAAGCCGATTCAAAATGTAGCTGAATTACGGCAAAGACTGTTGGAAGCAGCTGAGTTTGTTAATAACCGTGGATTCGCTCGTTTAATAACCCGATCTTTTTTAAGAAGATGTCGAGCGTGTATTGCGGCTGAAGGAAAACAGTTTGAGCATTTGCTGTAAAGGTAAATCATCATCAGTAGCATTTTGACGCCCACTGTTGTGCAAATAGTTATCCTTAAGGGTCCTTGTGCGTTTTCATAATCGCTGTTTAATTAGGAAATTTTGAAAAATTTTCATCAGTTTTTCTTCAAATAAAAATTGTGCATAAGTTAACGAGTAATCTTCTAAGTGTTATACCATTTTGGAATCCTTATTAAATGCGCCAACTTTTAAGGTTACTTGCCAAACTCTCGTAGTACATTTTTTTCCAGTACAGCCAGTTAAAGTTGAGCA